AATCAAGTTCTTGAATGAAAAACTTTTTTATTTAAGAAATTATTTTCACAAAATTCGGCATAGACTATGTCCAAGGCAACACTACAATCTCCGAACATATTGTTTAGATCGGACCACTATAGCGTATGGCTGACTAATCAAAACCAAAGTAATGCTAATTTTATATATTTTTATGTTATAATAAATACACCTGTGAAGGATTTTGTAGCTGCGGTGCAGCCCAAGCTATGTTAGTTCATAGGTCGGACTTAAATTATTCCATTTTATGTTATAAGAGTTGTGGACATATAATTGAAGTAATCTCTCCCAATTTTATTTAGAATATGGTATATCGGTTGTCATTTTCCTATTCCATTTCGCTGAGAAGTATCATTGCCCATTGTACCTATATTAGTCAAACGCATGGGCATTAGGATTGAGAGCTATGGGAAATGGGTGTGATTATGCTCTGATTTCTCTGAATCGTTTACCGTACCATATATTAGTACTCAACTTGTACAAATTTTTATTTCGATAAAATCAAAAAAGCTAACAGGATTCAAATTACACTGTAGGGGTTGATTTTATGTCGAACTTGTCTGAGATTGTTCATTAAAACATTTTTGATCCAACTTATTCGATAGAAAGTTGTTTAACTTGTTGGTTAAAAGATGTTTCAACACCCGTGTACTATTCTAAAGAAGCGCATTCTGATTATAAATTAAATCCTCGAAATTCTTAAAAATCTAACAATGAAGTAAAATTCAAGAGAAAGTGTATATGTAATTTTTTTCGAAAAAATTTGACGGAAAAATAAATTGGTTAATGGACGTCACAAACTAAAGTTTGACAGCTCGTTTCATTTATGACGCAACGTATGGCAATCTTGTCTCTGGTCCAGTCAATTTTAGTGGCAGTTATGCACTCTCAAAAGATCTTCTACTAAGTTTAAGCTACTTTTTAGAAAAGAAACATTAAAAATTGACATTAAGAAAAAATTAATTTTCCTTTAAGGAAATTGAAAGCTATTGTCAGCTATTGTATATGTTAATATTATAGTGATACTTTATATCAAACAAATATCTCATTTATCTGGTGCAAGAGTTTCTTACTTTATATACTTATCCATACGGCAACCTAAGCATTAGTTTAAACAGTTCACTCGCTCTTGTGCGGAAATCTATTGGAAAGTTCATTGACCTTTCGACGCATTCCTTTAATATAAACGAAAATTTTTACTCACGCATTTCCAAGTTCCCAAAACAGCTGTCTAAATTTATTACATTTTAAATTCCTTTTCATTTAATTACATAAACATTTATGGGGCAACATCTCGTTAACATCGTAATTAAATTTGACGAAAAACATAATTTATGTACCGAGACAACAAATTAATAAATTTTTACAACAACAAAAATACTTCATACTGAGTAACGAGCAATAAAAGTGGAAATTTATGAAGTCAAGAAGGGATTTATGTGTTGTAACTTTTGTCATATTGAAAGTAATTAGATTGTGTAAAAAAGAAGTTAATGAACTACAAAATATGTTTTGAATTCATAATATAAATATTTATATATATAATTTATTATGCAAATTCCGTTAAATGATATTAGAATTTTAAATTTTACATAAAACGCCTTTAATAAGAGAAAACTCTTACGCCCGAGTAAAAGTATTTACTATACTCGCAAATATATTGTATATGTTTATATGTATGTGCTATAAAGTAACTGGATTACCGTTAAGGTGCTAAAAAGCTTATTGTCAGATTTGATTTGCTACCTTGCTATTCTGTCCGAGAATATTTAAATGTACGTATATATAAATACACATACATATATCCGGGGATGGGCACGACCGCTACCAAACGACTCTCACAAAATGACATTGTGTTCTTGCTTTTACAGTGTGACATAGCAAATCAACGGGTCTATGCCGAACTGAATCTGTACACGTTCAAATGAATGCATCAACATTAATATTATTTCCGGTTGAGTGGCGATTAGATTACCATATAGATGGACAATTTGGCATTTAAAAAAGGGACTTTATGATATTTTATCATAAATCATGATCGAGTAAGAATTAGTTCAATATCATACGTAAAATATAGACCTCCGTCAGCACAAAAGCGTTCAGTCAACTGCTGATTGCAGACTTACTTTATCGTTGCTTTGTCCCATCGTAATGGCCATATTACATAAAACTTTTGCTTCGCTTAGCGGCAGACATTTTTTTGTTGCTGGCTTTCTTACTGTTTTATATAGTGTTAAGAATTGTGGACGTTGCTCAGGATTTCTGTTTTCAACCTTTCCTGCACTTCTTCTGAGTTTTTTTGTAAAAGTTATATTTTTACTGTTTTTGTTAATTTGTGTTGCATTTATTTTAGGTTTTGGCTTTATCATTATTGTCATTTAGTGAAATGAGTTTCTGTCATTAGATTTAAGTTTTGTTGTTACTGCATTGTATAAGTAATAAAATAAAAAATTCTCTGTATCACAACAAAGGATAAATAAAGGCTTGAGACTATCCCTCAAGGCGAACGCAATATTTGGATCTTAGCAGGGATGTTACAACTTCTTGCCGCCATAGACTATTGATTATGGTATCACCTTGTTATTGGTCAACATAATCAAGAGGACAGTAACTGCCATCATGTATTTTTACGAAATTATGCAGTAAAACTGTTGATTTGAATGTTGGATGCATATGCAAAGGAGACAATGACACACTGACTTCTTAGTAATCGTTTGTTTAAAACTTCTTTATCTTGTGGTAGAAGCGTACCTAAATTAAAATGAATTGTTAATAATAAGTAAAGGCATAATGCATATTGTAAATTCACACCTGGATATGACCGCATTAAACAATTTTTTTAAGGGAATGCTACATATCCAACAATAAATTAAGGAAACTTCATTTCAATGTGGTGTAAAAAATCATCTTCAGGCAAACCCATTGGGTCGTTCATTAAGTAATTTCGTTTTTTTTAATGCAATTTAAACACGATTTTTTTTTATTGTGTATCGTGACGATCGGCTTCGACATATTTAATCTTCTCTTTTGACAATCCCTGTGCCCTTTTAGCACATGCTAAGGTTTTGCCCATCCGTACACATATCTCACCTTTGGCACGCACTCTCTTTCAAAAATTAGGAGCAGAAAAATTAATGTCCTGTAATTTACTGTGATTCTTCGCACTCTCAACTTTGCTTCTTTCGCCTGCCAGATTTTTCGTTAGCTTATGCGTGAAGTGTGATAAAATTTTACACATTATAAAATATTTGTGCCATGACAGAAATGAAAAATCATTGTCATTAGTCAGCAACCGACAAAGAGAGGCAAGGAAATTACTCCCGCTTCCGGCTTTGAAGTGTGATGAGTGATTGCTGATGATTTCGATATTTAGTGCCTCAACGAAGGTAATTGAAAAGAAAAATGTTGTAAAAATTGACTGGATGTCATGAAGTTCTTTTCATAGCTTGGCAGAGAGTAATTTGATTGTGTTTGAATGTATACCCACTTTAATTGAATGCTTATATGTCACAGACCACTGCACTGAATATAGCAATAAAGAAACGCACTTTTAACTTTGAATTGAATGCTGCTTTGGAGAATAATCCATGTCAAATTTCGTGAAGATATCTTGCCAAAGAAAACAATTTTCACACAAGGACTTAATTCCGAGCATTCAATTTGTATGGCAGCTATGTATATTATATGCTATATTAGTCCGATATCGGCGGTTCCGCCAAATGAGCTCCTTCTTGGGAAGAAAAGAACACGTGCAAAATATCAAATCGACATCTCAAAAACTGATTGACTAGTTCGCGTACATACAGACAGACGGACATGATTAAAACGACTCAGCTCGCAGCTTACTGATCAATTACATATGTATACATTTTTTAGGGTCTCCGACGATTCCGTCTGGGTATTACAAACTTTGAAGCAATACACTACATACACTAGAAATAAAATTTGTATCAATAAGTTCCCAAAAGAGAAAACTTTGATCAGTTTTGAATGATTTCTTTGGAAAGAAAAAAGTTTTCCATAAAGGGGTCTAAATGACACCTGTGCAAACATATCTATGTGGTTATGTATGTATATCTAGCCTCGGTCCATCGATTGAAATTCTAACCTAATTATTACTGAAGATTGACGATTTTACTTTACTTTAGGCACAAGGGCATCCTGTCGTCATAAAAAGATTTTTGCCGAATTTCAATACTAGACCTCACAGATTGACCGATATGTATGTATGTGCGGTAAAAAATTTGCCATATGCACTGAGGTCCACTGAGGTTTTATTCTGATAACTTCATTGATGTTTAATTTGTATACTTTAAATTCAAAGACTCAGATGAAATTTGAAGGTTTGTTATAAAGGAAGTAGGCGTGGTTGTCATCCGATTTCGCCCGTTTTGTAGTGTGTGATAGAAATATTAAGATAACCTCACAAACCAAATTTTGGAATTGGTCAAGTAGTTTCTGAGATATAGGATCTCATCTAAATGTGGACGGTGCCACTCCCTTTGTCACATTTTTACACCCGAGCCTCAAAAACCCATCTGTACCATCTTGGTTGCAAAAAAATTTGTTTATTCAGTGAGTTATCGCACTTTTAGTGGTTTTCAACAAAACCGTTATATGGGGGAGTGGGCATGCATCAATTTCAGAGTGTATGAAGAATAGACACTCGGAATTAAACTCGTTTTGTGATTCTGATCTTTGGTATATACATAACTCCATATCTATCTCGATTAGTTTTAGGTGATACAAACAACCGTTAGGTGAACAAAACTATTATACTCTGTAGCAACATGTTGTAAGAGTATAAAAACGTATGTATAGTACATACATACATACATACGTTTTTATTTTACATATAGTATTACGAATAAAAAACGAAACACATTTACATGAAGAAATATTCAATACACATGAAAGCAACAATTATTCATAAGGGTGCATTACCTGCATATAAAGGTAAGCGGCCTTTTCCTTCCATTCTTCACTCTTTTGGTACAGGTACGCAGTGTACGATTTCTTAGCATTTTTTGGCCTTTTGTAGTTTCTTTAATTCTCACACACTTTAGATGCATTTTTGCAGAAATAGTTTAATTTTGACGTGATATAGTTATCGCTTCTCGGCCTCAAGGCTAAGATCAAAGCTCAGCATTTAATTCTCGGTCTTAGGGCTGGGATCAAAATAAGCAAAGCCTTAGGGCTAAGATCTCGGCCTTAGGGCCAGGATCAAGGTGCAGCTTCTCGGCCTCGAGGTTTAGATCAAAGTCACAATTTAGCAAAATCTCTGGCTTGACTCCTTTTGGGAGAAGTTCGAAATTAAAAAACCATTTGATCTGTTCTTATCAGCTTAACATCTGATAGATCCTCCATCGGAGGACAACAAATGTTAAACTGATTTTTGGAAATCGACGGAGTGTTTTAGGGGCTTGCTCCACCTCCGTCACGGGTTGTCCCGGTATTGCAGTACCACCGGGAATTCAGCCCAAATTATTGAATAAATATCATAAGGTTAAAAAATTGTGTAGAATCGCTAACATGATAATTATTCGTACAGGAAACAATTTCCTAAAAATATATAAACATTCAACTAATAACGTTTCTGCGTTTTCAATTGGTTCTTTTTAATTGATTATATTTCATTAATATTTGGAAAATTTCACTAACAATAAAATTGGTCAAACAAGTGCTGTATTGGTTCTTTAGGAAAAAAGAAAAATGTTAGGAAGGAAAGTAAACAAATTGCACAATATTTATAAAGGTTTTGATCTTATATCGGGTACATTTTACCTAAAATTTAGTTTATAGCTAGAGTTTGAGCGATTTTCAAGATTCCAATATAGAAAATTTCTAATAAAGTTATTTCTTTCACCTACATGTGGTGCATATCAAAATATGTAATAACAACATATGTTCTTGATATACATTTGCCCCTATAAGTACGAGTATTTATTTCCCCATGCCAGTTTATTATTTCTATTTATTTGCCATAAAATCCGTAGCAAAATTGTCAGTTCCAGCAGCTGAGTAGAAAATAAAGAAAAACTATGCTAAGACAGGTGTGAATGTTGTGTGATAGTTTTTTTGCTGGTTTCCAATATTTCGCTCGTGGCTTATTTGAATATTTTCAAATGCCATAAAATTGGCACAACGAGAGACACAAATCGGACACAGCTGTTGTTGTTGTGCACTTGAAATGCCAAGTTTTATTGGTTTTCTGCATAAAAATACAAAAATTTCAATAAAACTATGGTATTGCATCGAAGAAGAAAATATTTATGAAATATATACTTATGTATGTATGTTTATATAGTATATATACAAGTGTGTTTCCAATTTGTTAAAGACAATAAATAGTTCTAAATAAAATTTTAGCTACAATATAAATTTTATTTACAATAAGCCTTAAGGCAATTATTTGTGCTTCGTAAGTCACAACATATGTATGTAGGTATATGTATATGATATATGTATGTATAAAAGATGCGTGCATACCTTGTTGTCCTACCAAAATATTAAATCATATCAGCATTGAAAAATGGTAGACATAATGTTGCACAATGAGAACCATGGAAGTTTTACACAGTGGAGGCATTATGTGTCTGAAATTTTATTGTGATATATTGCCTTGGCTCTTTTATAGGCCCGAAATTGATTTGATAAAACAACTGTTTCATGACAAGGGAGAGATAAGGACTCACCTCGATAGATTTTATGAATCAAAGATTTTAAACAAATTCTCAACAAGGGAAGACCTGTATATAGAATTATAGAAACTCACAAAGCTGCTCGCGAGATGAAAAATTATTTATCTGAAAAGTACGAAAAACTAGCTAAATCAGTCCATAACCAAGGGAGAATTTTTAGCTAAACCTTAAAAAATAAACTAAACTAAATAAACGGAAACCGTTTATCTGTATCTGTATTTGCAATTTTTGATTTGTGTGCGGACTTCTCGTTTACTACTGCTTTTCTTCGTGTCGCAAAACCCGAGCAAAAGACATGATAGGAATATAGAACATGATAATATGAGAGCTTAATATAATATAATATATATATTATATAATAATCGAAAATTTAGCAAACTTAAAGAAACCGAAAAAAAGTGACACTGCATTGATTTTAGTCATAAAACGAACTAATGCTTTTTAATTAAAATATATTCGACGGCTCTTCTTGTTTCCAACACACAATGACAAAACAAGATAGACGACAATCCAATCACAACATTGAAATAGAAGAGCTTCCAGAGATCGTATCGATTCGTACTCTATTTAAAAGAAAGTATTGTAGTTTAAGCACTCAAATGATCTGTGCTATCCGGAGAAGAGTGCTGATACGACATGATATTTGTAGTAAAACTGAATCTTCAGAATGTAGCAAGATTTCCCTATTTCCCTTGTTGTCAAAGAAAAGCGTTAAGCTTAACAGAAATAAAAAATGTATAAGGTACTTCATTTTCAAGCTCCTGGAAAATTTGGTATGGTTGCACTACAAAAGGGCAATAGCCACATAGCTTGTAAGTGTTAATGGTGGTTAGAAACACGAGAAAGATCTACATTTTTTTTAAGAAGCTTTCCTCTAAAAATCCCTCAATCGGCTCGTATTTAAAAAAACATTACTAAAATAATACTCGACTTTAACTAAAGTTCGATTGAGCCGAAGAACTTGCAATCACATTTAACTCTCCTCACCAAGTACACTTTTTAAACTGCATAGTTTTATACATCCCCCAACATCCTCTCACTCGCTTTTCCTCTGCACACCCAACTATAAAAACAATTTATGCAGACAGCATAAAATATGTGAAATTAAATTATGCTTGGCATGGAGAGTAGCACACAACAATAACAACAACAATAACAGATGCGGTCACGTCTTAACAGGCGCACACAACAAGCGTCTGCAGCGTATTGAAGCGAAGAGATTGGTTGGGAAGTAAGGAATACAGCTCATATTACAACTTCCCGAAGGATATTGCATCCTTTGTTGTTCATTTAAGAACTTAAGTGAAAGTAAATAGAGTCAAAGGGGACGGAGATTAAAGTAAATGATGACACTGCTCGCTATCTCATGCAAATAAGCCGAACGACACGGATACGCTCGTAATGCTGGATGTTAATACTTTTTGTAACGAAGAGATTCAAATGTCTTGCAAACTTGGATTGGTAATTCTGTTTCAAAAAACAGATTGCAATAAAAAAGATTTTGTGGGGGCATATCTAAACTTCAATTTATATCATATTGGTGAGAACGTGCTGTCCTCGTTAGAAGGCATCATTCTAAGGGTGCTTTCCATACATTGGGTATTTTTATACCCTGAACAGGGTATATTAAGTTTGCCACGAAGTTTGTAACACCCAGAAGGAAACGTCGGAGACCCTATAAAATATATATATAAATGATCAGTATGATGAACTGAGTTGATTTAGCCATGTCCGTCTGTCTGTCCGTTTGTCTGTATATATACAAACTAGTCCCTCAGTTTTTAAGCTATCGATCTGAAATTTTGCACCTGTCCTTTTCTCACAAAGAAGCTGCTCATTTGTCGGAACGACCGATATCGGACCACTATAGCATATAGCTGCCATACAAACTGAACAATCGGAATGAAGTGTTTGTATGGGAAACTCTTTCATTTGACGAGGAATCTTCACAAAATTTGGTATGTATTATTATTTAAGGCAATAATCTAATCGCCGAAGAAATTGTATAGATCGGATGACTATGACATGTAGCTACCATATTAACTGAACGATCGGAGTAAAGTGCTTGCATGGAAAATTTTTTTATTTGACGAGGTATCTTCACGAAATTAGACACGAGTTCTTGCTTAAGGCAACAAATTATTCTCCGCAGAAATTGGTCAGATCAGATCACTATATTATATAGCTGCCATACAAATTGAACGTTCGGAATCAAGTTCATGTAAAGGGCCTTTGTATTCGTGAAGGGTATTATAGCTTCGGTGCAACCGAAGTTAACGTTTTTTCTTGTTTTTTTTTATTGTTTATAATACTGAATATTTTTCGATTATGTTTATTAACGACGTCATTGAGCCAATACTTACAGTGAGGCGAATTAAAATAATTGTATTAAATATTTGTTTTGGTTTTTTGCGTTTTTGTTCAAACAATTATCTAATATTATATATCTCCATTAAGAGATCTAATTTAAAATACATTCGAAATCAAAAAAAACAACCGTTTAATTTTGTCACTGCATTCTGGTAATTACCATTTTCCAAATCTGTTTTATATTAAAATGGTTTACCCATTTATATTTTTATATATTTGTTTACATTGGGACATCATCTACATTATTATTTTAGTTGGTTTCACCATCCTGCCCTCGCTTACGTAATTAACCCACGTATGTAACCCTTCAGTTGTTAAATTTGTATCTAATAATTCGTTATCAGCACTCTGTTCCTCAGGAACTTCCACTTGGAGTTTTCGTAATAGTATACCTAGGTGAAATGAAGTCATACATACATATTTACTAATAACTACATAACTGAAGCTCATATACACCAGTAAGAGGTAACTGTGTCCCTTCTAAATCGGATGTATCATCGGATTCAACATTGCTGCAATCGGTTAAAACCGCTTCGTTGTGACCCAAAAGATATGAACAAAGACGATATTTAAATTCCTGGATGGTCGTGAAGACCGCCAATTTTTCTTATGTTTCCAATTGTGTTCAGCAATGCCTTGATTTATGCGATAAGTTAATATGTACTCAATATGAAAATTAAAATTTTATGTAAAATTGAAATATTCTTGAAGTCTAAAAAAGTTGTTTAAATGCAAAACCAATTTATAACTTCTTTGATACAAATTCTTATCAATTGCTAGCAAGAAAAATACCATTTAATAGCTTTTATAATCAATATATTAGACTATTTCAAAAATAATAAAATAACACAAACATATTTAAAGACTATGGCAACCAAGCAATTAGAACCAACTTCGTCATCAACATATGATTTCAAAGTTGTCGTAAACTTGTACTCTATGGACGTTGATATACATTTGTATTGTCTTTTAATAATAAGAGACTGTTTTTGTAGAGATGAAAGTTTCCTACAAACTATGAGTTTTCCGATTTATTATATTGATTTTTATTTCATTGAGTTATAAAATAATAAGAACCAAAAATTTGCCTTAAAATAATTAAATTTCAACCTTTAATATCTTTTAAACGGTTAGGTTTCCGAACAAATCGTACGAGGCCCTTTTGTAGATCATTTAATTTCCTACAAAATCTTCGAAACGAGATATTTTTCAAGTAGTTGGAAGTGAACAAACGAAAAGTAAGGCCTTAGTCTTTAACCCTAAGAAATTGGCAATTCCTTTTGTTTGTGGCGTAGAGTGTCGCAGTCTTATCCCTATGGTTCCTGACTGTCTACCTATTTCCGTCATCATTAAAGATCTTCAGTAATACACACATATTTATAGCACAGTTAACCACCGAAGTTGAATCTCACTTACTATGATGAACTCGTTGGACCACAGTGTAAATTAAAACCCACCGTCGCAGAACCTTTCCCTAGCTAAGTTTCGATGTATAAATCTATTATTCCATTCTCACCTAAATAAAAATCACCGTATTCTACAGTTCAGTTGATACCTTTTCAAAGCATAAATTAATAATCATTCGGTCAACATAAATGGGTCTGCATTTAATAGCGGATCAGATAGAATTAGAAGTTTCGAAAGGAAATGGAGAAAGGCAGCGCCAAGTGTACTTGAGCTCATATTTTTTGGCTTATAGCTTTCTGTAACTACATTTAGACAAATATTGATATAGATACACTAAAATATAAGAAGAAAGTCAATATCTCGGGTCTACATGAGGCCTTTCTCATGTTTCATTAATATTTAAGCTTTTTTTTGTATTATATTTTTGATCATCTCGAGTGGTATAACGATGAATTTGATTTCGTTTGATACGCATTGCGACAGGGCGTGTAATTTTGTCGAAACCGGTAACCTATCAGTAAGATACCGGAATCAGTAAAATTTTTTTCATAAAGTTAGACCAATGATTCGACATCTTGTCAGCCTCCATAAATAAATAATTCGACTTCAACTTACTAGAAATAAATCTCTCGTCTCATGTATATAGGTATATTCCTGTTGTCGGTCACTCCGACCAGAGAAAGAAGTTAAAATATATTGCCATTAAATTGAAAAACATCTGTATTTTTACCATTTCAGAGTTCTTAATTGGCCAGATGATATGGAAAGCGTATCTTCTATATTGATCTACTCAATGAAAAAAGCATGAAAACAAACCTAACCTATAGGATCATAAAGTTGAGATAAATAAAATATTGAGATGAAAAAAAGTAAAATCATTTAATATTGCCAGGAAAGTTTTTCCCTATAAAAGAGATGTTTCATTACAGCTCGTTTGGTAAACACATAGCGATTTAAAGATGAAGAGGGGTAGAATAAATTTGGTATTCGTGATGATATATCTTTCAGAATATAAAATATTTATATTTATTACTATATAAGTATACAGATAAATATATATATTTTTTTTTATAACCTCTTAAAGCTACTGTATGCTCGTAATGCCCAACTAAGTTTAATATTCTTTATTTTTAGCTAAACTGTTGGCGGTTTACGAGTATATAAATACATTTCTCTCATCGTAGACAAGCGCCAGTAAGACATTCGACGTCCTAAAAGTGGAATGAGCAGACCCCGAAACCAAAACAAATGAAAGCCAAATAAATGATGTAGTAAAGATACAAGTGGGGCGTGCAAATGGAAATTCTGTTATTACATACACACCTACAAACATATTACTGTGGAAATATTCAAATATCTTTGGAGAGAAGCAGTAAGTGGGCATTAAGTAGTAATATTAGAGACTAAAATCAAGAGTCAAGAGCTACAAAGCAAATTACTTAATCAAGAAAGTCACATATGCATTTACCCCAGCGTCGCAGCGAAGCTAAATGACCGTTACGAATAGCGTGAAATTAATAAAATATTACTAAAGTGAATAAGCAAAATGTCTCTAGAAAGCGCACAAGGCAAAAAAGGAAATTTAATACTTACCAGACGCGACCGAATGGAAGGAGGAGGCTGGACAAATATTATTAAAATAAAGTAGAAAACAGAAAGTTAAAGAAAAATGATAACAAGTAGCAAAGCAAAGTGGTGGAAACAACAACAACAATAAGTGAAGTACTTAAAATGAAAAAAAATTACAAATAAAAAAAATAAAATACTTTAGAAAATATATATCGCAATGCTGAATTTGTTGCAGCGTAAGTTTCTTTACTGCTCAGCAAGCAACAAACACTGCCAACAAATCGTATACGTCATGCCAAATTTACTTAAATTTACAAAAACACTTAAAGAGAAAATTATTTAAGGCTTAAAATTTAGGTGGTAGCATTTTACGCAAATTCACCACACCTAAATATATACACACCACACTTAAATAAATAAACTATATACATACTTTTATAAAATACTGTCAACGTAGCAATTTTGGCGCACAATTGTTGTTGTCACGTAATGAAGACATTCCCCTGCACGTCAACGACGCTTTTACTATCGTTATCGTTACCGTTATCGTTATCGCGATCATTATTTGTAGTTATCCTTTTATTATTAATTGGTGATTTTAATTTAAGCATCTTGCTATTGCCAACAAATACAAATATCAAACATAACTGTATCGGCAAAGCAGCAGCGGAAGTATTTACTTTGGGTTATTTAACCGGCTCACAACGAAGTCCCGGTAATTTGGATTATCAGCGACCAGGTGAGTGGAAGAATATTTGTAATTAAACTATGGAGAATTTGGTTAAGCCATTTAAAATCTTAAGCCATTTAAAATCTACTAAGTAGACTGAATACCTTCGTTTTTCATTTATCATTTTTTAAAGAAACTTTAATCAAGTCTACTAAGCCAAAAACACTTTTTTCGCGCTTTATTTTAGTCTACTGATATGCACTTCATCAACAATTTTTTGATCTGCCGTCGATTAATTTGGGATGCGTTCGGAGCTGAGGTATATTAACGCCGTGTTGATATCACAGACCTTAGTGGGGTCCATCTGATTTGCCCAGAATCATATACCGCAAGATTTTAGCGTTGAACTGTTGAAACTTTCTCCCTCCCTATGATCATATTTATATAACCATCAATATACGATGGCTATAAATCGTTATATCTGGTTCCCATTACCAGAAAGGCATTAAAACTCGTTATCGTCCAAATTGGTCCATTGGTCCCAAATATTGGAGTTTATTGACTTATTTTGTTAATAACATCGCATTTAGACTGTTGCAGAGAGCTTTTTTTTTCTAATTTTAAAACGTGGTTCTGAAGAGTATGATAAGATTCGAACTCTAATTCGATTATATGATGGGGTGATATAATTTTTATTACTAATCTATGTATGATGAACTAGTCTAACGTCTTGAAAACTTATGATTGAGTCTCAACTATTAAAACAGTTTCAAGAAATCAGAGCTCCATCGCCCAATGTTAATCAGAAAGACACAATATCTGTACATCTTTAAACAGTTTTCAGGACTGTAAATACATACATATGTATAAGAATACGATTATTCCTGTCATTGACTCAAATATCTAATTTACACTTATCAGGCATTACCATCTCAGGCGCCATCACGCTCGCCGTCTCACAGGTGAATGCTGGCAAACTAAAAGAGCTCGGTCATTCACTGGAATTCATTGTGGCGGAAACATATGGTGATGAAGTGGCGAGCATACGACAAACAGCCTCGTTGTGGACACGACAAGTAGCTGGCTATATTGGACCGCAAGAGACGTGTGTACATGAGGGACGCATGGCAGCCGCTTTTAATTTGCCAATGATTTCTTACGTAAGCTCGGACAACTTACTAAATGTAATATTTTTGAAAATTTAATAATTTTGTTATTTCAGTACTGCATACATCGCGACACTTCCAACAAACAGGACTTTCCGACCTTCGCACGCACACGTCCACCCGATACGCAAATCTCCAAATCCGTGGTCTCGCTGCTATTAGCTTTTAACTGGACGCAGGTGAGTGGATTTTATCAAACATTTTGATGTTTCCATTAAATTACTTTCTTCTTCAACTCTAATTTTTAAACGGCAGGTCTCCTTTCTGTACCTGGACGGTCCACACAGTCCTTACCACCCGGTCGCAGAGACCATACAAAATATTTTACACAACGCAGGTGTCAATATACGCGACGTGGAAACATGGAATACAATATACCATCACGGTTTCATGGCGAATCCTTTCGATGACTTGGTTGAGCGGACCTACAAAAATACGCGCAGTAAGTAAAATTTTTTTTTGTAATGTGTATTATAAATTGTTTTTCAATGAAAGGAAACGGGAGCCTACATTTTAACTTCAAAATACAAAGACAAAATTAGCTAATGTGACCTACGCATTGCTTTCTGCCTGAAAAATCCACCACCTTTTTGCAAAACATATTCTACATATTCATATGTATACGCGTATGTATTACCTGTCCTTTTCTTAATCCTCTTTTGTCGTTATCCTGCTGCATAAATTCTCAAACGTTTTATTTGCATTTTTGCAGAAATAGTTAAATTTTGGCGTGGTATAGTTATCGCTTCTCGGCCTTATGGCTAAGATCAAAGCTGTAGCAGGCTGGTGAAAGTTGCTGCCCGTAATCCCGGAACCATATCCGTCAACCAAGTGATCCCAGAAGCTGAAGGCGCGGCAGCTGCCCTAAGACCGGACATCGTCAATAGGGATGAAGACAGTCCGCCGAGTAACTATTATCGACGTATGTATTCCACTCAAGAGCTCTCGAAACTGCCAGGAGAGAGAAAATAGCAAAATATCAGCCCCTTGTGGACGCTCTCACTGGCAAGGGATACAACGTACGATTGGGCGCCTTCGTGGTGGGATCGCTTGGAGGATAGGATGGCCAGAATGAGGCGGTGCTTAACCATCTCCGCATCCGCTCCTGGTATTCCGGGATGATGCGGATTTAATGATCAGCGATGTTATTCGCTGGTCAAGGGACATACCTGCTCAAATATAAACGAGACTTTATCCATAACTCGACAAGGACATGACATATGGCCATACTTTTTTTTGCTTAGGTTGGCAGGACTGTTATATGATTACATGTCAAATTTGAGCGCGATCTCTCCCATAGTTTTTTTTTTACGGCACTATAAACAAGTCAACCTCGAGTGTGTTTTTCAAATTTTACTATGGAAATTAACGTTGAGCAAAAAGTGTTTGTTTGAAATTTTGTTATTCCAATGGAATAAGTGCGACGGACGCAATGAAAATGTTGCAGAAGGCATAGCTAGTGAGCTCAACATATCAAATGGATCCGCTCATAGCATTATTCACGATGTTTTGGGCATGAGACGTGTGTCTGCTCGACTTGTTCCAAAATCCAGCTCATACGTCTCGTCTTGTACGCGATTATTTGACCAAAAACAACGTAAATATTGTTCCGCAAGCACCGTATTCACCCGACATGGCACCGTGTGACTTTTTTCTTTTCCCTAAACTCAAATTGCCGCTTCGTGGAAAGCATTTTCAGTCGATTGAAGTCATAAAAGAGAATTCGAAGAAGGAACTGAAAGCCATACCTAAAGCGGCCTACCAGAAGTGTTAGGAAGATTGGAAAAAAAGGTGGCATATGTGTATCGCCTCTAATGGTGACTATTTTGAAGGGGATAAAATAAATGTTGAAGAATAATTAACCGTTTTTGTTTTATTGAGCCAGTCTCGTTTATATTTGAGCAGGAGGTATATGCGAAGCATATGTCGGGGATCCGGATGTACCCGGCTGAGGACGAGTAATAAATTTATGTGATGTATCGTTCCTAGTAGCGAATTGAGGTCGACTTTATAAAATAAGCATTGCTTTAGCAAAGCACCGTGTTTTGACTCCGTTTTACGAGTAATACATGAAAATATACATAAATTTGTATCTGTTCTTATCAGCTTAACATCTGATAGATTCTCCATCGGAGGACAACAAATGTTAAACTGATTTTTGGAAATCGACGGAGTGTTTTAGGGGCTTGCTCCACCTCTGTCATGGGTTGGCCCGGTATTGCAGTACCACCGGGAATTCGGCCCAAATTACTGAATACATTACAAATATTAATATGATTAAATAAAACTGATGCTAAGCGTTATTCTGTTAACATCCAGGAACCACAGTTGATTATGGAAACATTTTTAGGGAGTGCTGTGCACATTATGCCCAGGCTGATGGCTGTTCCCGATACTGGATCGCGCTTTTACTGTTATGATCAGTCCTTTGTAAAGCCGTATAGGCACTAAGCTGTCAGCTTAACTGGTTGTCTGAAAGTGTGCATTCCGAGGAGTTTTAGCCTTGATCTCTGCTTGGCTTCGCGTCGAAAACTTTTAATTGTGAACATACTCAATTTCAAAACAAATGTCTGAAATAAAGCGAAGCCAAAGTTGTATGTGAATTGGGCATTAGGATTCCCTCAATTAACGAAACCCCGAAAAGCCTGTGAGTCCTAGTATTTTCACTCAACTATCAGAAAGGATAGTCATTTTCTGGAAGGACTGCGCTCCGAAGTAGAAGACTGCTATTTTAATGGTAGAAATGGCTTGAAAAACGTTACAATAATAAGGAAACCTGAAACTGGTATTAATAAATGATATCTGACAGTAGACACCTACACCAGTCTTCCCTCAAAGAGAAGTGTACTGTCCCTCTTCTGATTTCCTCTACTTCTTCTGGCATGTCTGTAAAGTCAGCCGGATGTTTGAAAATCTTTATATTAGTTATATGAGAGCTAGGGCAAGTTTTCACCCGATTTTATCCGTTTTAGGCACAAAGATGCATACAAGAAAAACGCGCTCACTCAATTTAATTAAAATAACTCACACATAGGCCGATATATGGGGTATAAAGTCAGTCGGAAGTTCGAAGGGAAATATTCACCGGATTCAACCCATTTTTGACATATAGACATACTATTATCAGGAAAACAGATTGACCCATATTTACGCCAAAAAGTCAGCCATACGCACTAGGGCGTCTGTGTTCTTGAAAAGTTATAGTCTGATTTCGACAATTTTGAGGGCTCTATTAATGCAAAGTTTTATCTGAATACATTTATTGATTCTTGATTTTTATACTGGAAAGTGAAAGAATCAGATAGAATTTCAAAGTAAAGAAATTAAATTTTCACATTGTAATGTATGCATGTCAAAGTTATATTATATATAGAATTTAATTGAAATCGGTAGAGTAGGTCCTGATGTATGAATTCTCACCTAAGTGTGGGCGCTGACGGTCATCGCCCAATTCCGACAACTGTTTCTTTAAAGCCCTATGTAATTCTGGATTTTATTTTTAGTTATTGATTTATTGAATTTTTAGTAGTTTTTAACAGAACCGTTATATACCTATTTTCACGCTGTCGAAAGAGGTATCAAACTGATTTGTCCTGTGCAAATTTAAGTGATATAAGGACTGAATGGTTGAAAAGATATATAAATTAAGCGTATTAGGGGGCCACGTTCACTTTAAACAAATTTTCTAACCATAGGTGCCTCTCGTAATTGTGATCAGTTGTACCAAATTACAATTTTGTATCTTAATTTGCGGCTTAGTTATGGCAAATTTATTTGTTTTCGATCGATGGCATTTTGTTGGAGTGGCAGTTGTTCAATCAGAGAACTTAAAACAAGTTCATTTAAGTTCTCTAGTTCAATTACGCTTATATACAATATCAACTTTCTGCTGGCGCCAAGAAACATGAGTACCAAGGTTCATCAAAATACCTCAATTTTGCTCTAGTTACAGCTTGCACAGACAGTCACCCGGTCATATATATGTACATATATGTATGTATATATCTAACTCGATTAGTTTTAGGTGATACAAACAACCATTTGGTGAACAAAACTATTATACTCTGTTGCAAGAGTATAAAAATGAGGACCGCTACACCGTGATCAAAAACAAGAAAAAGGCATATGTGTAACAGCTGTATTCGCTTCGCTAAGCCTTTGTTTGGTAAGCAAAAAAAACAAGCAAGAACACTCGAAAAGAACATTTGTTAGACGACCACACAATGTCAATTGGAAATGACAAAACAAAAAAACATTTTCTTATTGAGAGTTGGTACATTTTTTCACTCTTTAAGTATTAAAAGTTCAAAAATCAATTGTTTTAATATATCACAAAATCACAAAAATGGATTTACATAGTTTTTCCATATGTTTAATAGATACATGTATAACAATATTTAATCTTAATAAATATTAATTATTATTTTTAAAATTAATAATTATTATATATAAATGTAACGGTCCATAGTACCCTCTATAAAAACCACAAACCATTATGCTACCGCCCCCATGTTCGACTGTTTATTCTTCACATCAAGCGTAATATTTGGTTTCTTCCAAACTCGAGATCAGCCATCATCTTACCGTTGACGATTTGGTCCGGATCGGACTAGATTTACTAGCATTTTAAATAATTCCAGCAACCGACTCCAAATCAGTTTCCTGTGTTTTTCTGATCGGGCTTACTATGTTATGATTTCTGATTGTCTTAAAACTACATATGTACGTCTCGCATCTCTAGATTACGTATTAAATTTCCTTCTGTTGCAAATGTGCTTAAAATGTATTTAATTATTTGGGCCGAAATCCCGGTGGTACTGCAATACCGGGCCAACCCGTGACAGAGGTGGAGCAAGCCTCTAAAACACTCCGTCCACTTCCAAAAATCAGTTTAACATTTGTTGTCCTCCGATGGAGGATCTATCAGATGTTAAGCTGATAAGAACAGATAACATATATATTTTTTATTTTAACATACTACTCCTAGAACGGAGTCACAACAAACACTTTGCTAAAGCAATGCCTATTTTGTAGGGTCGACTTCTCCTCGCTATTGGGGACATCACATAAAAGGACTGTAATTGGTGACTTTACTCGCCTTCGGCTGGGTACATCCGTATCCCCGACATATGCTCCGCGTATATGTCCCTTGACCAGCGAATGGCATCGCTGATCATAAAACGCCGCATCATCCCGGAATACCAGGGGCGGATGCGGAGATGGTTAAGCACCGCCTCGTTTTGGCCATCCCATCCTCCAAGCGATCCCACAACGAAGGCGCCCAATCGTACGTTGTATCCCTTACCAGTGAGAGCGTCCACAAGGGGCTGATATTTTGTTATTTTCTCTCTCCTGGCAGTTTCGAGAGCTCTTGAGCGGTTCTCGAATGGGATACATACATCGATAATAGTTACTTGGCGGCTGTCTTCATCCCTAATGACGATGTCCGGTCTTAGGGCAGCCGCCGCGCCTTCAGCTTCTGGGATCACTTGGTTGACAGATATGGTTCCGGGATTACGGGCAGCAGCTTTCACCAGCTTGTTCTGAATGGCATCATGTCTCCGCCTAATAGCGATGCTGTGAGCATGACAGTGGTTGACCACATGCGGGAGCGTCTCGGCCTCATATCCGCATCTGCGACATCTCTTATCCGCTTCCGGCAGCCACCGAAGTGTGCTGTTGAGGGGCAGAACATTGAGACGGGCGCGATGGATGAAGCGCCAGTCAAAGAAGCGGATATTACGGCCGCTCCGGAGAAAGTGGTTGGAGACTGGGTGTTTTTTGGTCACCTCCAACACTTTCCCCTGATCCCTCTTTTCCAAGAGGCCTCTCACATATGTGGCAACCACTTTACTGCGGAGCATGTTGGCGATCTTATGCCGCCTGGCTGGTGAGGCTACATCTTCCTCCCCCATAAATTTGATGCCGAGTGCTTCCTCTCCAGGCAACCAGCACCACTCGACGCCTATCCTTCGGTTCAGACGGTATGTTGCAGAGCGAACTTTGGCCCAGAACGATGTGCGACCAGCTGATCTTGGAATCTCCTGATCCCCAGAGAGGTATCGGGCCATGTCTTCTGGAGACACTTCCCTCCTTTTCATTCGCGACGATACTGCTTCATGCAGGAGACTTTTTGCTAAATTTGACACTGCTGGGTCACAACAGTGTAGCAGCCTGTAGGCATGAGTGATGGTATATATGTCGTACGCGTCTGAGAGGGGGATCAGCCCTCCGCCTCCCTGTGACGGCGGTAGGTACACTAGTTCTGGGCTTGATCGTTTTGGCAAAAATAGCCATTTCTTTGAAAGCTGTTTAATGCGAACATCTGCAACTCGGAGGTATTCCTTCTCAAAGGTACCTCCCTGCATGATGAAGTCAAGCCTCGGTAACAGGAAGGTACCCACGGCGTCGAGCTTCTGCCAAGGTGCCAGGAGGGAGCCATCGATTGCATTGGCGTCTGCAATCAGCCCCCTGAGGGTGTTAACGGGAACTTGGCGGACCTGGTAACCTGTTGGGATGCCCAGATGTTCGTAGGCCTCCTCGTTTCTGAGGGCTGGCATCAGGTTACCCTGGATTGTAAACTGCGTTGGCAGTGCGCCATTCTCCCCGACAAAGTGTAGTGAAGCACACTTCGCCGGTTTGAATGTCAGGCCTACCGCGGCAGCTCCTTCCTCCGCGGCTTGGATAAGGGATGTCATTCCCTCGACGGAGTCAGAAATAAGTACGCCGTCATCGGCGTAAAACAAACAGTTGTGACGCCTGCCCTTGATCGTGTACCCTGTGTCCATTGCCGTTAAGCAACGAATCAGAACTTCCAACGTCAGGTTGAACACGTCGGGGCTCAGCGGGCAGCCCTGTCTGACTCCGGCTCGGATTCTTATCGGGCCGGTCCGTCCCTGCGACACCTGCACTCTCGTGGTCACCTTGGCATACATAGATCTTATTATGTTTATAATTTTGGGGGGGAATCCATGCCCTTCAAGGGCGCGCGTGATGGAACTATGCGGAACAGAATTAAACGCGTTGGCGAGATCCAACCAGACGACTACCAGCTCTTTGTTTTTGTGCCTCGCATGCCGAATGATCTCCTGCAGAACGAAGTTATGCTCGAAACACCCCTCGAACTGCAGGAAACCCTTCTGCTGCGGGCTGAACCTATGATTCGTCGTAGCCCAAGCCTTAATCCTGTCCGATAATAGAGCAGCAAACAACTTCGGCACTGTGTCTCCAAGTGATATGGGTCTCCAATTGCCGATATCCGCCTCGTCACCTTTCTTGTGGAGCAAGATGGTGTTAGATTCGCCCCACCAGGAAGGGACTGCCTCCAGCCTCCAAATGGTGTTCAGTAAGGCGGTGAGGACCACCGCTCCCTGATCTGCCTTTCTGAGGTCGGCGTAGGTGATGCCATCCGGACCCGGCGACGTGTTAGCCTGCCGTTTAAGGCGTTGCAACACCTCGCCTACTTCAAAAGGCCTGGACAGCTGTTCTGTGCTGGCAGGGGTCGGGTCCTCTTGACTGAAAACGTCGGGCCAATTTGCTCCTCCGACCCTCTCCGCGGCAAGGTTGCCGAAGTGTGCAGCAACAGTTGCTAGATTTAGTTGGCAGGGCCTACCTGGCCCTTCCAGTATCTGCTGCACCGCTCTTTTACGGTTGCGGCGGTAGAGTCCTTGGAGCTTCTTGGCTCTCTGAGTTCGGTCGACCTGGTCTTGGCTCTCTGAGTTCGGTCGAATTGGCTGGGGCGGATTACGCGTTTGTTGCTCTCTCCCCCTGTTTCTGCGTGCCGTCGTGACTGCGCCAAAGAATGATGTTATTTGGACCGACATTTGCTCTAGTTGTTCCTTCGAGTCAACGAGGCTTAGCGCGGCAGATAGTTGCCGCTGTCGCTCCCTTGCCGAAGGCGCACGCAACGCGGGAGGCCTAAGGTGTTGGACAGAGGGTTCTGCTACGAGGGGGGGTTCTGATGGGGCTTGGCCTGGTTGTATGTCATCAACGTTGTCAGGGATCGGATTCTCGGGGGCTGGTGATGGGCCCAGGTGGTCGGGCTCTAACGGTGGATCATTGTCAGGGACGAGAACTTCTGGCAGCGCTGCGACAGCTGGAGTTTGAGGTTCAAGCAGCTGTCGTCTGATGTTACGGCGCCGTGCGATGTCAATCGCACCAGTGCGGACCGCAGGCACATCGGGGTTACAGTCCCCACAGTGCTGGAGCACCACTTTACGTGGATAACGTTTTTCAGGTGGAGCCGTGAAACCACATTTCCAGCATTTGTAGGTGATTGTGGCTTCTGCGTGGTGCTGTTTGCAGTGCCTGACGAAGTTTTCCACTTTCGTCCTCCCTTTGTACCTGCCGGTCACGCAAATCGGGCAGTTGACATCTTCCTCCTCCCTTATAGGGAGGAGGACAACGAAGTTCCCGTCCCGGCACTCCACCTTGCTGACGGGCTCGCCTGTCACAGTCGACCCGACGTCTGCCATGGCTGATTCGAGCTCAACATGTGCCATGGATACACTTTGATGTGACTCTGAGGCGGGGGGTGGGGTTGTGACTACTGAGACGGGAGGGGGGGTTGTGACTACTGAGACGAGGGTGGGGTTGTGAATACTGAGACGGGGGTTATGCTTAGCACTTAGCCTTAAGATACACTTTGATCTTAGCCTTGAGGCCGAGAAGCGATAAATTTTCGTAGCATATGGGAAAGTATTTTAGTTCAAGTATAAATTAAGAGAGTGAGAATTGAAAGCGAATATCAAACACCAATTTCAACACGAATGAAAAACATTACAAACCAAACTTGGCGCGAAGCTATTTTTAAACACAGCGAGCAATTTGTCATCTACCTGATATCAACGGCACATTTGCTACTTTTACGGCTGCCGCATATAACATATATGCATAGTACGTATTCACTTTATTTTCAATTCTATTCGGTATTCGCTTCGTTCGTTTGCCGTCGTGGTTATCGCAGTCTGCTGTAGGCTGCATAAATAAGTATGTAAGTACATACATAGCTGTGTATTAGGTACCTAAATAATTTATATGTATAGTATATTCTTAGTAGCGCGCTAGAACTGCTAGAGATTAACTTATAGCGATAATGCCAGATAATATAAAGGTGTCGTTCGGAAATGTTTAGCGTTATTTTTTTCAACCTTTACAGCTTCATTATTATAATTAGAATCCCAGGTTTCATACTTTAAAAGCGAAGCGAAGAAAGCAAAGGGTTTTCCAGAATGAACGCTCCGTACTTCTCTTTAATAAAAATGGCGACTGTTATTTGGCAAAGTGTAAAAAGATAAGAGTTGCCCAACATTTTGTTTCACTTTGCTTTGCCTCGCCTATACAAAAGCATACATTAACTTCTCTGTCAAGTAAATGTCTGAAGCAAAGCGAAACAAAAATTCTGAATCGGACATAAGTAACCTCAAATTCTTACTTAAATTCTAACAAAATCAAAAGTAAAACGAATTAATTTATTAATAATACTTACATCAATTTGCACAAGCATTAAACGACGCTAGTCAAAAATTTTTGAAAAAAGTTACAATTTCTTCGTTTTCTGCAGCCAACTTTACTTCTTAACGCGCTGTCAAAATCAAATTTTTTATGTATGCGCCATACAAAATCGATGGGCATGAGGAATTTTTTGACAGCAATTTGCCGTTCCCGCTTTTATTTAAGGACGGCAGTAAAGCAGAATAAAATGAAATAAGAAAAGTCACCTCGCGTTATGTCTATGTATAAAGTTTTACTAATTCTCTGCTAAGATCATTATAACTTACAAAAATCAACAACAACCGTTGATAACAACTTTTTTTTAGCCACTTATCATCTTTGTAGAACATATGTTCTAGTCTTTTCAATAATTAGGTAATATACTAATCATAAATCTAAACGAAAACCCAATCATATTCTCTTTCTCTTTGATTTACTCAGTTTGGCAAGAGCAAACTTTTAATAATCGAATAGAACTGTAGTTTGCAC